TTTCGTCACTCTAATTTCCATATCTCCATCTCTATTTTGTATATGTTGATACATTTGCTCATTCATATTTTTTACATTATTTTAACTTTTTATTGCCTTATATGTAGTCACTATATTTTGATAGATTTTACAAAATCTCAATTTTATATTTATATCTATGATTTCCTTATATAACTTCATATTCATTTTCTCTGTTTTACTTCTTTTTTTTTTCGAAGATCACAATTTTTCATTTCTTACGTTACCTTAATGTTTATTTAATTAGTCTGTACTTTGTTGCCGTTATTGTTATTTATTTTTTAGTTCTTTGTTACTGTTATTATTCTATCTACTTCATTTTACTTTAAGCTTATTCTACCAACAGTTTTTTAGTCAATACCTTTCACCTTTTTAATTTTAGTTCTTTATTATTCAATTTTTATAGTTTCTTTTACCTATTGTTATCTGCCCTTTTTTTTAGCCCTTATGAGGGCCTGAACTTCGGGCCGAAACGTCGGAAAATATAAAAATAAATATAATTTTGACAGATCATCCCAACCTTCATTCTCTTCAATTATTTACTACAGTCAACCATCAACCTACGATTATAGTATAAAAAACAATCTATATAAACATTTATTAAAAGATATATAAATATATTTTATTATAAATTTAAATATATTTTCCTGCTTTTTAATAATTTAGTTGAGGAAGTGTTTTGTGTTATTTTAGGTATCTAGCATGAAAACGTTTCTCTTCGGTATATGTTAATTTATTTATATGTGCAACGTTTCGGACTCTTCAGAGACATTTGTTTTCACATTTACATCATAACGTTATTAATATTTGTCACAACTTTTTCCTATATTGACGCAAATTTGTTTGAAATGTATTTAGTATTTATTTGTATTTTTTATTTTAGCTTCTTAATGTTTTTCCTTTATCTGCAGTTCCTTTAATGCAGGTTATTAAACATTTGTCTTTTTTTATACATTCTGCTTACAAATTTAATACCACATTTAATCAATTCTCATCATCACATTGTTATATTTAAGTAGACTTTGTTCTAATTCTTTTATTACATCAACCCCTCTGTGTGAAAAGAAATGTCTTTGGACAAAGATTCCGAAGCGTAGGACAGATGAATAAACTGACACATAAGGAAGAAAAAAAAATTCATGATTTATATTTTCCAGCGTATTTACGAAATTGACATGGTTTAAAATACCGTTGACCCAGTTGAAATCAGAAATGGGTAAATTTTATTTTGAGTAGCGAGTACCAAGTATTTTACTCAAATTGGATCATGATTGAGACTTCAATCACTACTTCAATTAGTCGTTTGACATCAACTGAAGTAGTAACTAAATTCTTTGGTACCAACAAAAAATCAGTATTTGAGTAAAATATTTGGTACTCAGTAGCCAGAGTAGCATTTGTCCATCTCTGGTTGAAATCGAGTGTGCTTGCGGTCATATACAACACAGAGATGTTAAACAATTTTCCCCACTTCAACACATCTTAAAGTTTTAAACAAAATTTAAAACCTAGGGCTCCACCTGGACAAACGTCTAACTTGGAATCTTCATACCAGAATGAAACGACAAGTAACAGCTCGACGTTTTCGACTACTTAAACATTTACTAGACAAACGCGCTAACCTAAACAATTAATTACAAAAATCTCATTTACATGACTATAATAAGGCCTATTTGGACTTACGGAGTTGAGCTATTATTTCAAATTCCTCTCCTATCCAATCCTCACAATCCAAAATCCTTCGTAAAATCCTCAATGCTACTTACTTTGTTACAAATAAAATCATCCATAATGACCTTAATGTTCCTTATGTATCAGATTTGGCCCAATCCAGATATCTATCCTTCTATAACAAACTTCATAACCAGCTTTCTTCCTATTTAATTCCTGATAACCCTCCGAGGCGTCTGAACAGAAGATGGCCATGTGATCTCCTAATAAAGGCATATTATTAGAGTGCTACCAATGGGTAGTTTCTCAACATGTGTTTCATGTCATTATATCCATGTGCGAATTTACCAGATGTATTTTTTTTTATACAGTTGTAAATATCATATATATATATATAGATATATATATATATATAAATAAGCGTTGGTTGTATGAATATTTCTATTTAATTATGAATTTTTAAAAAAGGTACTAGAAAATCGGAAGGTCCTTAAAGAAAATATTTAAAATTAGATCAATACGATTTCTCCTAAAAGAATAATTAATAAACATAAATATTTTTAAATTTGTTATAAATATAGGTAAAATCATTTTATCTATGTGGCAAAACTTTCCATTACAATGAAACTTATTTTGTGGTCGCCTTTAGAAGACCTACCCCAGGAAGGACTTAACGAAATCTTACGAACCGAGAAAGAGGAGAGGCACTTTTTTTCTTTTTAATAAAAACAGGCTCTCGAGAAATAAAGGGGCAATATAGGCCCTAGCTGGAGGAAACAGGGGCCGGAATGCATAACTAAGGGAAACCGCCGACCGGCTGAGTTCGGGCGGGAAAACTGGCCGGGAAAAGCCACCGAAGAGATTTACGTCGTTTTCCGAACCGGAGAGCAGAAGCGCATTAAAAAGATGGAAAGGACCTCTTAGGCAGCTGAGAATCAGGACTCATGGAAATTAAAAGGAATAAATCAAAAGGGATTTGCTATCTTCTTCAGCTCCTGGGAAAACTTATTCAATACCTTAAAGAATATTTTTGAAAACTTTTGTCCCTAAAGGATGCTCTGGTTACCAGATTTAAATTACGAGATAATATATCCTACGCTGAAATTAATTTTATTTAATAATAAAAAATTGAGACGACTATATTCCTTATTAAATATAAAGCCCGTATAAAGCTGCAGCTCGTAAACTTTGTTTAGTTAATGAAAAAAACTTTTCGATTTTCTTCACTTATGCAAAGATAATAAGTATTCAGTAGATATGAATTAATAAAAATGATCGACGTTAATGACTCATATCGCTATACGACGGTGGTCGGAGTGCTTATCCCTCCAAAGTCGGTAGCGAATGAATCTCCCCATTACTTCAAGAAAGTGTATTGCTTCATTCTTCCTAAAAACAATTCAAGCGAAAGTAAAGGTAAAAAAATTGAAGAGAAATTGATTATGGTGTTCAATAAAAAATAAATAAATATATGATATTTATTTTTGCTTTTAGTTTTTTTGACTGAACAGCCCAACCAACTTCTCTTCATTTTTCACTACAGACAACCATCAGTCCACAATTAAAAGTAGAAAAGTCTTAGATCTTACACAGATACGATTGCTGAGGTCTGGTCCATTTTTTTTTCATTGTTTGCTGGCGTTTCGTTCCGAAAATGAATAATCTCATCAAAATGTGCACAATTCAAAAATTCAAAACCTTGTCAAAGGATTGCTCCTTCAAAAAGATACAATGAAACCCTTCACCCCTCCCCCTCTGAAATGCCCCAATGGAGTATGATGGCAATTAAATTCAAGTATTTTCTGCCATTATGAATCTTATTAAATTCTTGTTAATTATGTTTAATGTTGGGTATATGGAATTCGATAAGATTCGACTGATTATGATGGCAGAAAACACTTGCATTCCATTATTGTATATGTGTTTATGATGTACAAGAGTTTTAATATTTTAAGAATATGGAATTTAATAAGATTCCATATATATGTATCAAAGATGAATTCGAAATATTTAATGGTTTAGTAGGGATTATGTAAATCAATAAAAATTAAATTGTGGTATTGAAAAACAAACAACTTGAACAACTTGATAGGTTGTTAGAAAACTTCTAAGATCATTTAAACCTGCTTTAGAAATCGTGTGCTTTCCACTCGGAAACGATACTGAAAACTTTCATGAAAATGCACCGGCACTAGCCATATAAAGCTTTCAATTTATTCAGTAATTTATATTAAACGCTGTATTATCGTATGTTGTCAAAAATTCAAAAATACTAATTATACTAATATAATACAATATTTTTCTGTATTTTGGAGTCTTTTAATAACGTTAAGTGAGTACTCACTGAGTAATTTGAACCATCAAAATTAAAAATTAGTTGAACTGTTCGCTTAATAAACCATCACATAACTTCCAATGGATAGATTAAACTTATTTTATATAATAATTCGTCTCACTTAATAATTTTAGTCACCGAGCTTAGAAATTGGTCCAGCCGTTAGCTTAAATAATCGTTGAATATCTTTTAGCGACTAGATTAAACACATTTTATACAATAATTTGTTGAACTTTTGAGCTCAAATTGTCGAAAAACATTTATAGGATATCACCAAAGAATTAGGACCGTTGAACTTAACAGTAGGTCAAGCCGTTCGTTCAAAAGTCGTTACATATATTTTAGCGAAGAAACCTCAAAACATAACCCTCATTGTCGCTTCACCGTCGTTATATGAAAAGAAGTTGCTTGAGCCGACAAGAATGACCTTTTTCTGAATCCAGTTCGTTTGTGCTTGATTATCTGAAGACTATGGGTTAAAAACAATAATAGGAATCTATGTATATGAAAGAAATGAATACGGGAAAATAATAAATCATATGAAATAATTAACAAGTCATTATGTTTATGATTAAATTAATTTGTTCTGAAAATATTTTATTTATTCTTCTCACCATGTCCTCCCAGATATTACAAGTTCAACAAAAAATCAATGTTTTTAACAATAAAAATTTATAATAATTTTAATACTAAAATTTTGGATTATTTAGTTTTGTTATTAACCCTTCATGCCGTATATGATCTTTTAATCTAACAACTACGGTGGGTTCATTGACCGCAATAATGGCTCTGAGTTCTGATTTTGACGGTTGCCTGTATTGGACTATTTGACGTATTTGAGACGCGTCAGGGAGGGCCATAATACGGGCCGGATATATAAGTTTGCACGGAGTCAACTGATGGGCCAGTAATTATGTCGATGCTGATATCTGGCAGGAAGTTAGGGAGAAGAGGAAATCAGCCGTCAGTAGCAGGGATGGAGCTGTGTCGTATCGTAGTCTTGTCTTCAGTCTTAGGTGAGTTTGAACAGGAAATTTTAGATGGGAAATGGCAGTTTGCATTAAGTAGCTTCTTAAGATCTCTTTAAAAATAAAAATGAAATAAAAGTGACAGTGATGGAAGGAATTGTTGAAGTAGAAGGATGAAACATTCTATACAACCAAGAACAAAACAATTTTTTTTTTACCATAACACAGGCGAATCTACGGTGGGTGGGAGGAATAAGGATGAGGAGGAGAGGAGAGGGTTTCGGGCTGAATCTTCTCTATAAAATAGTAAAATATGATAAATGTCCAATGAAAAAAAATCATAAAAAAATACCTATAAAAGTAATATTATTCGTGTAATAACATTTAGTAGGACTTCAAGAATCACTTAAACACCCTTTCATATACGGAATTAGTGTCTTGTTCTTCTTACAAAGTAATAATCGTTATATATATATTAAAAAAATGTTTCGGGCTAAGACCCCCTCCCTCCAAATTAAATTCTGGATCCGTTAGTATACTGTCGAGATACCTCCCGACTTTTATCATTAGCGTTCGAAATTCGACAGAAATTAGAAATGATCTGTTAGATAGCCCTATGTATCATTAGCACAGCAAATAATAGACAGTTGTGAAAACTTCTCAACTCTTTCTTCCCACAGAATTTAGAAATAATTTTTTGAAGATATAAAATTATCAGATTGAAGGACCACCATATATGGTCATTGACCTTTCAAACCTTATCCTTTATTTAGATGAAGAATAGAACCCTTTTCCATTTTGTCGTCATCATCAACCCCGTTTTAAATATCTTCAACTATATTTTCGAAGGCAGTTCAATTTTAGTCACAAACTTCGGCAGCTCTCCACGGCAACCATCACCAAACCATTGTAAAACATATTCCATTACTGTTGTAACCTCACTTCAATCGATAATTCTCTTAACTTAAGAGTTTCCTGTGAGATTCAGCTCTTTGGACTTGACCTTTAGCAGTTATATCAAGGTAGAGGAAATTCAGCGGAGATTTAACTAGACATGTTTTAATCACGTAAATAAAGATCAATTTAGTCAAGGTGTACTCTTTTGAATAATCCCCACATTATTTATTGGATTGGGGAGAGCCTTAACTCCACACCCTGGTGGCAATGATAATACGTTTTTCATTTGAATTTGATTTTTCTTCTGTCCTAATACAAATACAACCTACATATAAGAACCGGTTTCTGAGATAACCTTATCTTAAAAAGTTCTTGGTACTGTTTAACATATCAATTACAATCACTATTAAAAATATATATATTTTTTCGGTTTGTGGTTAAAGAGCATATTAATCTTTGGCCGTGCGATGTGATATTTTTACTGACGTAAGCACAGATAACCCAGGGTCAACCAACCTCACATTGCGGGGTAGAACGCCTTAAAATCTGGATGTTTTATTTTTTCTTGATGATTTTATTTATGGTGAAGTGGTTGAGAGATAACCAATGGAATCTTCTGGTGAGTTATGTGTGTGTAGACAAGAATGGTTAGGAGTTCCTGTGTCTAAGATGTTTATTTTACCTTTAAGTATATTTCATTTTTTCTAACTTTATTCTTTCCCTCTTCATGTTATTTTATTTTTATATACTGCTATTACTTAATTGATTTAGTCAAGATTTTTTGTAAATTTGGTATGAATGTGCTCTCTGTTCTTTATTATAAATGTCCTCAATTGAGATAGAAAAAATAAGATGATTATATAGTAATAAAGGTTATTTTATTAACCAAAGATGATAACGTGCCCGCTGCAGTTGTTTTCCTATAAAATATACCCAGTAAAGAATGTTGTTAATTTACAGTTAACAATATTGTTTCTATAATACATCATTATTTTGGCTTTTTCCTAAATCTTTAGTAGTTTGCCACAGCCTTAAATTTTCTAAAACGCATGCGATTGAAATTTTTGATTTGAATTTATGTAGAAAATTATATTTATTCTCCTTCAGCACTGAAGATGACCCACATGTTTGGGTTTAAACGTTGGCACAATAAAAAATTAATTTTTTTTTAAAATACTTTATTTATCACCCATAAAATATAATAATACAAAAATAGTTAATTTAATTTTTAAAAATAAATTAAATAACGATTAATTAAAATCAAATGAAAACGTTTAAAGGAATATATTATGTTGTTTTACAATCATGTTATAAATGATAATTATAGAAACTTCCTTTATTACAAATATGCCTCTTATGTCCGATCCAAGAAATTAATATATTTATATATCGTTTGCTACTAGAGGTATAATTGTACTTTTTTTATATTATAATTTTATTGAACTTTCATATAGTTTATTTAACATCGCATATCTCCCTTCCCGGAAGTATGATTGTTATCTTGTGTACGGTTTTCATGGAAAAACAATGGAATCTAGATATCCTTCGTTAAGGTTAAATGTAACTGGTAGTTCCTGTTTTGTAAAATAAGTCACCTAAGCACAATTTAGGTGAAGATTTACTTAATTTTATACAATTAATTCTCATTTAATTATAATAATTAATATAAAATTTATTGTTAATAATTTATAATTTTTTTATTTAATGAAATTTACAACTGTAAAAGCAATACAACTAGTAAAAATGCACACATTTGAAATAATGACATGAGCAGACGTGAAGAGATACTGCCAAGTGGTAGCACTCCCTATTTAATTCTAGGTGAGAAGATCAAGAGACCATCTTCTTTTCAGAAGCCTAGGGGGATTAATCGAGGAAGAAGCAAGGCTGGAAACAAGTGAATTCGGATGGGAATGGAGTTAATCATGAAAGGATAGGTATCTGGCTCGGTCTCAATCAGCGATTCATAAATATAAAAATAATGTTATTATTATTATTTTTATAAATTTAAAAATATAAATAATTATTTCATTAAGATAATATACCAATGAATTAATTTTATAAATGCCATTACAGCATCTTGTCAGTCAGTATCAGATTTCAGTCAGGATTTGAAGGAGCCCAGTGTTTCTTTTTACTTAGTTACCAGGTATGTACCATATATTTACTATATTACTATAAAAATAATTTGCAATACCGTTTCTGTATCTAAGGTCTCAATATGAAACCACCTGTTGGTCTGGCATAACTGTGAGTCAATCTAGAGGTGATTATGATAAAATCTCTGCCAATGGATTCTTATGTGAAAATAAGTGAAAAAAAAAGATGGAGAAATTTTTATCACACAGATGCCTAGGCTTAGTGCGGTGGATTTCTTGAAATGGCCGTCATATGTATTTTTAGGTTTATAGGCAATAAGTTCAACAGTATTGCCAATAGTTTACATATCGTAACTAGTAAATTTAAAAATGCGCAATCTTTGGTTTTTTGAATTACTTGGTATTATGAGATAATTTTTCCTAAAGGATAACGGTATGGCCGAACAGCAGAATCTTATGTGGGTGATATAATGACCAGCGAGATGTATTTTATTTTTATTTTATTTACACCCTACCCTGCCGATAAGGCAATACGGGTGTTATGCAGTAGTGAGTAGCAACGCATGCGTTACAATTCACTACTGCATTCAGACCAATTACATTTTTTACAACTGTGCACACAGCCTGCTCTTTTTTTTTCTTTTTAGCCAGCATCCTGTTCCACCCTCTCTGGCGGTCTTCCGTATGCAGGTTCATTTCTTCTTCCCAATGAAAAGTGGTTTGACACAAGGATGATATGCTCGGCGTTCTCCGGCACTCTGCAACTTGGGCTTAGGGAATCGATGTTCTTGCCATATTCAACGAGCTTTGCTCGGAAACCCCCGTGGCCTGTGAGGAACTGTGAGACAGACTAGTCCGGGAGAACCCATGTCTGAGACCAGCGTGAGGTGCAAGTTATTTTAAAACCATCAACTGTATCCTATCCGTTTCGAGATAATCCGTATCATGTCTGAGACCAGCGTGAGGTGCAAGTTATTTTAAAAACCAATCAACTTGTATCTCTATCCGTTTCAAGAGTTTTAAATAAAAAAGTTCGCGATTATGTGAAACTCCTATTTATTTTTGAAGACTTTAATTTGAAGTTATAATTTTTTGAAAAAAACAAACAAACAAACAAAGAATAGATAGAAAAATTAATACCAACAACTCTTAAATTTAATATTTTTATTTAAATAAACAAAATATTTATATATAAAAATTGGATGCACCGATCGGTACAATATCTACATCAAGATGGGCGATCATTGTATTGTGTGTTGATAGAAAGAGATTATAATATAACGCTTCTACAGAATAGAATACCTATGCAATCCCGAGCTTCACACCATCGATCGGAATCCGAGATGGCATTGTAAGTCGCTGGTCAGGAAGAAAGGACTGTCCCAATAGTTTTCTACTTGAGAGGAATCGGATATAAGACCATCCTCTATCTCCAACTTTCTGTACCATTTCTATATTTCTTTGAAAATAAAATATTATGATAAAAATAATAACATGTGTCAAATATATTTATAGATTTAATGGCTGATTGATATGGTTGAAGAATATCGAAAATATTTTAAACAATTGTTTTTTTTTTTACGAAAGATTAGCCTTAATAATTCCCCCCACACAGTCCATTCCCCCGAAAATACCATTTTAAGAAAAAAGCAGATATTTAAAGAAGTCATGCTACATGAAAAAAAAGATAAAAGATAATATAGAAGGTAACTTATACACTAATATTTCTTATAATGAAAAGAATATTAACGGTACAACCTATTCTAAGATAGTCCTATCTGATCATAATGATATATTGCTATGACATTGTAATAGCTGCCGAGATGCTGCACCATCTCTGCAGCTACACGAGAAGTGCTCCATTAAATTTTTTATATATATTTAACAAAATTTTGAGTAATATATTTAGATACAGATAAAGTCATCTCATAATATTAATATTTTTTGTAACTGAATCATGGTCAAAACAATAAACAAAGCTTAAAATTTTCGTTTCTTAAGTTGAACAAATTTCGTTTTAAATTTCCACTAAATTTGGCTCCATTAGCTCCTATTTAGTTTAGGCCATATTTCATTGCATTACACCTACGATCTACTAATTTTGTAATATACATTAGATCCGTACTTTGTAATACTAGTTTGATTTTCCAGAAAAGGACAAGAAGTAGTCCTCTCCAGGGTCTTTTCCTATTCAGACCTTACTTCTAGAGGCTATCCAGAAAAATTGTACGTTCTGTTCCACGGTTATGGAGGATCTGCCAACACAAGTTCCATCCTGTTACTGGCCAACGGTAAGCGGTGGGTATGTAGTAAATCATTTATTCAGGTATAAATTATTATGGTAACTATTTTGTTTGACAAGTTAATTACACAGAAGAGGAAACCACTGAAGCTTTAATTCTGAAAACAACAATTTTATTTGTAATAGCATATGTATACTGAAAATTAGGTTCGATGATGGAGATTGCAGGTTTAATCGCTATTTATTGAAAACATGTCAACCCCAAATCCATTTATGTTAAGTAATTCTAAGCGACTTGGTATGCAACTTTCTAAAAATTTAGGTATGATTTAAAGAAAACATTTTTTTTTCTAAAACATCAGACCTTACCATGGAGATCAAGTAAAATTCGTCTACCTGGAGTCGCACAGGAAATGTGCACAAGCACTACATAAACTCATAATGTGTAAATGATGGTGTTTAAACTGAGCTAAACAAGAATTGACTTTTGACAATGAATACTATGCGCCTAAAATAATAATAGTGAATTTATTTATTATTACGCATTTTAAGTTACTACTGTACTGGCGTAGATGGCCCCCAGTATTTACTCCTTTATGTGACATTGTGTGAGGGAATGAAAAAGAATATATAGGAATGTGAGGTTGCACTGTGAATTGTACTCAATTGTGAAGTGGACAAATTATTCATTTAAAAGTCTCATATCGATAAACTATCGATGAAGAAGGACGCTGAAAAAAGGACATAGCAGGTAGCTAGCGACAGCTGCAGAAGGACGCCGATAAGAGGAGAGAGGGTACTTGAGGCCTGGACACGACACCAGAGGACGTTACCTGAGATGAGAGAGGCAGGACATTGAAGACCAAGAATATCAAACCCACAGTTATAAGACTTTAATAGATTCATTTATTATCAGTTGTTAAAATAAATTGTTTTGTTAGACAGGAGTGAATAGTCCTTTTATTTAGTTGTCCTATAGGCCTCACAATTGAAGAATAATAAACAAGGTGAGTCAATTCATTCAAAGTGTATTTACTCAGTCCCACATTATATATATATATATATATATATATATATATATATATATATATATATATATATATTGTTATTGTTTCTTTTCACTCAGTGTCACAAAAGGTATTAGATTCCCGAATTCCCAACGACAGTTAAACACCATCAAAAAGTTAAACACACTCCAGTGCCGAGGTTTTGTTTTAATAAGCACGAGTGTAAAAAACCTAGTTCCCCGATAAAAGCGGAAGGCTATGTTAACAACTATTGATATCGTCCCTTAGATATTTTAATATTAAAACTATAACTATCCTTTTCAGAGAGCTATAGAAATTATATATGATCTGATCGTTAGAATAATAATTATACCCATCTTGCCTGTTTCATGCAGAATATATTGTGTAGTAGAAGAGAATATCGACTATCGATGGCTAATTAGAGTTGTGTAGCACGCTTGGATCTTTCTCACTCAATAAACTCAATTTGCCCAAATTTGATAGTTCAAACCTTCTTAAACCAAGGCCACTAGTTGTTAAAAAAATCTATATAGGATGCAAATAAATTAACATTTCGCAGAATCTGATCTGTTGTTGAATGGTAATTTCTGGAAAAAAAAAACTGAGGATGACGAAGATGGACAGGAACGGTAACTTAATTTTACGAAGGAGAGTAAAATAATTGACACTTTTATTAATTAATTTAAAGAGGGAAACAACTTATTTTTGATGCGCCTATGTACTAAAGAATCAACATTTATATTGATATTCATATTTTAAAAATGTTTATAATATCGATGAAAATTTCGCTATCGATAATTTAATTCTATTATTTTGATGGTATCGATAGTAACATGACGATATTAATTATTGGGCCTTTGATATTCCATCCCTGGTCTGAACTGTCGGATACGGCCCCGACTTTAACTGAAAATGACTCACGCGGGATTCGTTTATCTCTATTGAGTGAGCGTAGCAGACTGAAGTCGAAAGCAGCGATGTAATTGATTCTAATTAACGCCCTAATTTTGATTAACGAACTAGCAGGCAATTTGCCGAAGTCATGAATTGATATCTAAACAAACGGAGGTGATTACATTTTTTGGCTATTTTCAGAATCCTATTTATTCCGCGACCTTAGCCTATTGCGCAATGCGGAGCGACATTTGTAGCATGGTACACAGTTAAGCATCTCCAAGCGTATTAGAATCCTATCGAAAACAATTAAGATTGGCTTTGCATTATCTTGCAGCCCTACTGGACCATGGAGAAGAAAGCATCTTGACAGTGGACTATGAAGCTGCTGTAGCCGTGCCATACGAGAAAGCAGTCAACCGCTCACTGGCCATCGGTGAGAAAGTTGCAGAGCTCTTATCGATCTCATCTTTCCCGCTGAGGTTCATTGGAAACAGTCTTGGAGCACACATCGCGGGTATAACAGGCCACATCCTCAAGGAGAAGAACGATATCCTTGTGGACAGCATAATTGGTAAGTTTCTTGGCACACAAAACGGCAAGCAGCTTTTCATTTGTGAGTTGTTTTATACGAAGTGTTGTATTTAAATCAACTATTTCTCTAACACAGGACTCGATCCTGCTTTTCCGATATTCGGTGATATGGAACTCCCAAAGAGATTGGATCCTGAAGATGCCAAGTTTGTCGTAGCTATCCATACTACTGGGGGTGAACTTGGTTTCTTAGAACCTGTTGGTCATGCAGACTTCTATCCAAACGGTGGTCTCAACCCACAACCTCAATGTGTTTCTCGCCGCAAGGTTTGGAGTCAGTATTATTAGTTTCGTTTGAAGATTTAAATGAAAAACACTAATTAAAAAATTAACTAAAAATTTCTCTTGCAACAGTTGACATCCTTGTTGAGATTGTATGCAGTCACAATGCGGCACTTGAATATCTTACTGAAAGTATTGGAGGAGGGTTTCCAGCTACGAAATGTTCAAGCTGGGATGACTACAAGTACGACCTTTGCGCTAATTGGCAGACAGTACGTTTGGGTTTCGATCTACCGTCAGAGTTAGTATCATTAAATTTCGTTTTTTAGTACCATATATTGAATCAAATATTTTCAAGAGTCTAAAATTAATCATTTTATATAACAAAAAAACGAATTAATGTTCATATGGACATACGCCTCACAAATTTACGGTTCTGCAAAAAAGGCACACTTACAAAAACTACAGACATTTCAATCCAAAATTTTACGACTTACAACAGGAGCTCCTTGGTACGTAAACAACAAAACTTTACATAACGACTTACGACACCAACTATCGACCAACACATACGCGATCTCTACTCCAGATTTCATCTTAAACCACACGGACACTACAACGGACTTATTAACGACATGGCAACAGCTGACACGACTATCAAAAGACGACTAAAGATGAGCTGGATGAGAGATCTCCTTTCTTGAATTAAGGAAATAAATCAAAACCAGGAAGAAGTGCTCCTGAGTACTATTTTTGTCCTCATGCGTAAAATATCAATTTTTCTTATTAGTTACAGCACATCTGCTTATTGTCAAGCTCATGACAGGTGTGAATGGAAGTATATAGACAAAAAAAAAATGTTCGAGTTAGCTATTGTTTGTTATTATTTCAGTAATCAAGGGGATTTCATTACTTTTCTAGGTGTTAATTATTATTATATTATACGAAGCTATTCATGATATGGAAAATAGTCAATTCTATTTAATTTTGTTTTAAATAAAATTGTATATGTCGTCGGCAATATGTTAAAGTAATAGGCTCACATTGGTTACTTTAACATGCAGCCGACGATATAAGGTACCCGCTAAAATACCCTAAGTAAGTTTCATTTAATTTCTTTGTAAACTCATGACTATAATATATAATAATTATCACTGATTTATTCCTGGGTTGCATTTATTATAATAACAACAGTTTTTATCTAATGCCAATATTTTTAATGATTAATAGTCTGATTACAATAGCTGCATTATAGAAATCTGATATACTATTTGCTTCAATTAATATTAATCTGATTATAATATTTGAATTCAGTGTTCGTGGAATGTTCTTTCTAAGGACTCGAAGCGGTCCTCCTTTTGGGGAACCTCTGTACTGCAGCTCAGACATGAAGGGATTGGAAGCAGCAAGTTGTTCAACCTCGGATAAGGAAGTTCCCAAAGACAGTCCTGGGAAGCTGTTACTGATACTTGTATCACAATGTATTTCTGTCTGGTTAATATATAGATTTTACCCATATGAATAAATACCATGAAATAAAATGGAGACTTTTCAATTATTTTTAACCTCTCACCCACTGCTTCTTTTTTTATTCAATGTGAAGATATTATTTATAATTAGAAAAATAAAACCTTAGTCGTATGGATAGGTAAAAAAGTTTTCGCATTATTAAAAAATTTTCTCATAATTATTGATATTGAATAATTGTTTTTAATATTTAAAAAATTCCAAATGATCTGAATTACACCTTATATAGAGAACTGATTCTAAACACTAATGAGTTTCGATACGAGAAGACTTATTTGAAAGGTATGAAGCCTAGTGTACATTTCCAAGCTGTTTAATTTAATATACTGATCCCTTCGATTGATACCGGCATATTTACATAGTAATTCTGATATATAAAGCGTTTCTTATTTTATCACTATCGACTGCATGACTAAAGCGTTTGATTATACGCAAAGTATGGGGTTAAACTGATTGCTATATTTTGATATCTATTATAATGATGGTGTTATTGAGACCGAATCTATTACAATTTGGGTTAATAAGTTAATTAATTTTGCTCTGCATATTTACTACTATTGAAGTTGAGGTGGATTGGGATGGGGCTAAAAATCAATCGGTAGTTTTTGCTTCTTTATCAATGTCCTTTTTCTCCCTTCCAATTTTTAGGCTCCCTTGCTGGACCGCTAGAGTTTGCTTTTTCATACTTCTTCTTGGAAAAAAAGACAAATTTTAAATTACTAGCTGATCAGCTCTGTAATCTCTTCTCAAGTTGACATGAATACTACAGTAACAAGGCATATGCAGATCCTCTTTCTCGAATTGAATATGCTTCTCTTGCCTGCCAAGAGGTGACAGTAGTGCTGCTAGCTTTAATTTAAATAAAATAAGTAGAAACTTTGCTATGTTTTCTAAACTGTATGTGTATGTGTAAACAGCTTTCTTATTATCTTCGGACAAGTTGATTCCATTTGTGACGGTAGCTTCATCCTTGATTCGTGATTTTATTGATCCATCATCATCTTCGTTCCTCTTTGCTTAGAGAAACATCTACAGTATTCTTTCATTTTTCTAAAGAATATGCCCAACCTGGCATATCATGGGCCAGCTTCTGGATCATTTACAAATCTTCAGCATGCATGGAAGAACTCGTAATATTTCATGTTGTATAGTAGAGTTAAATGTTAGGTGATTTTTAATTGGAGTATGGCTAATTGTTCCTCTATCGTCTCATTCCTGATTCGGTTTCTTCTTGCCTTGCATTCCACTCTGTAAATATATTTTATTTCCATGCCAGTCATAACGCTTAGAAGTCAATCTGAGACCAAGTGTGATTTTTCGAGTAAACTCAATACCACGTCCATATGGATAAGTAGCATGTTGCATTTAAAAAGTTTGTTACAATGTGATAATTTGTTTTTATGATGAAGCATTCGTCTTAGTAGTGACAGTCAACGGTTCAAATTCTTTTTAATGTAGTAACTTGTGATTTCCAGATAAGTCGCCTGTTCATTGTGAGATCCATATGATCATTCATTGTATCTATATGATAAGGCAAAAGAACGTTACCTGCTAAGTGCTAATGTAACCTGATTGGATTCGTGGATGGATATTATTTTTTATGCACCAGTAATGAAACCAGTTGTGTTCTAGATTTAAATGATTCTGTACTTTTAAGGAGGTTGTGATCGGATTAGAATCCATCGAGAGTATTGCATTGTCGTATGCGTAAGTAGTACGAGTAGTGTTTTTTGGGTTGTGGATTGTCGGAAATGTACTGTAAATAGAATACAACAACTGATACCAAAATATTGCTCTGCGGTACTCCTCAACCGATTCGACAATAGTCGGGATATTTACCATTCTGATAAAAAAAATGATAATATAAAAAAAATCAGTACATTTTTTACCGATATGTTTCTGGCTGTCTCGTAAACTTTTGATTCGGTAAATTTCATTATTTTAGGTCTTTCATCTATTGCAATTTCCCCTTCAATTATCCATTGTAAGAAGGGGAAGTGGTGTTTATAATAAATAATTCCGGGTACCGGATTAAGATCAAGATGGCACAGATGGGGAGAGATAATTAGATCCAGATGAGCACTGGCCTCAATTCCCCACTGACTATAATTAATTAAGGATAAGCTAAACTGAGATTAGTGGCTTCGAACCCTCCTCCGGCAAAAACCGGCTGTCAACCCTCCCTCCTCCACTTTTTGTTTATTTATTTCCGTCCGGGTTTTAACTTTATTTTTATGCATATCATCAATTTTCAAAATTATCAAGGATAGAGGATATTACTAAAAAGAAAAAAAAAAAAAAAAAAAAACTTTAGACCACACGGTAATATATCAGAAAATCTGATGCGGTGCGCGCATCACACAACTTTCACTTACTACCATCTTCTTGGCAGAAATAAGTATTTTCAGACCAATAAGTGAAAATAAAAATACTCTATAAATATTTACATTTCATTGTGGGTATTTATATTTGTATAAGTACGCTTATACATACAAATTTTAATATTTATTTCGGTGTAATCTATACAATTAAATATTAAATAATACCAACAATAGAATTTATGAAAACCGCGTATATATATTTATATAATATTGTCGGAGACCGAATTATAATCTCTCCGGCGAGGTCGGATGAAATCAATTACAACTATTCTCCGTTACGATTTTTTATTTCTCCTTTAGTTAATTATCCAATTCTTTCATGTTTTATATTAAAAATAAATGTGAAAAAGTCAATTGTTTCAAATAATAAAAATTAAAGTTACTTTAGAGGAAGCTAATATTGAACATTACTAATTTAAGCCCTCTTAGATAACACGGATCAGAATAAAAACTACATTATATTTAAAATTGCTTAATTTTACACTGATATAATGAATTTAATAAAAATCGTTAAAGCCGTTTCCGAGAAAATTGTAAAAATGTTTTTAGCCCATAATATAAAGTGCCACTTCCGGTCAGTCGATTTTGACGAAAAAGTTATTGTAACATCCCTAGCATGTAAAAACCTTAAATATGCAGTTTAACTTTCGTAAGACTTTTCGTTTTGACGTAGACTGTTATTACACACACACACACATAGACCATTTTGCGGGACTTGGTTATTTGGACTAAGGGGACTTGAAAACGTGTATTTCCGTTGAAAACTGAGAAATACAAATTTTCACGATCGCAACTATATATTTCATAATAATATGAAATATAAATTAAAAATAATAGCTTCCAAAAAACAAAGAAGATGAAATGATGAACATCAGATTTTTATTTTTTTAGATATTTTAATCCATATGCAATTAGTCGACTTCAGCTCACTTTACTCGAGAGTTACATATCGAAAATCTGAGGGCTCAATCTAATCCACTTTCCACAAAAAAAGTGCAAAACGAGCCTAAAGACGTTTTTACTTAAAAAAACAACAAATTATAGTGATAATTAGGTCTTTTTTACTTCCTTCTTTTCATAATGGATAACAAATCATTTATTAACAAAAATTTTTCATCAACTATACAATTGATATTTTATGAGACCCTCTCGTTCTTTCTCTGCTCTGATGAATAGATCTTCGACACTTTATGTGCAAAGAGGATCGAAAAAAAAAAAGAGATACAAAATTAATATAAAAATCTGGAGAATGCATGAGTCAGCTTTCACTTTTTTATAATAAAACAACAAGTATTATGTTTGATTTAAATAAATGATTAAAATTACAAACATAAATTCTAATAACAAAACAATGGGGCATTGATTAGTGACCGTTAGCGAGAGTCAGCTGCAAACATTTGCATCGTTTCATATTTAACTCTACATATCGTCGGCACCATGTTAGAGTAACTAATGTAAACTTCCAATTATGATAATTCATTACTGCAAAATGTACATATCCAACAAAGCTACAGGGCATGGTAGGTGTTTTAGGACGATAAATTTCAGGATACATACGCCCGTTAACAAATCTATAAATTCGCATGATCAAAGAGTAGTAAGGTAAACAAACAAAATAGAAAAATATAATTTTTCACATTCCTTAATTTGAAATGGTGCCGACGATATGTACAATTAAATAAAATATATTATTGTTTATATTCATAAGATATAATTTTCGTAGTACAAACATATTTTACACATAAAAATACACTCAATCACTCAATTCCAAATACGAATTATAAGAACATCACAAACTTCCTTGCATACTCAATATTTACATGTCTCCTAGACTTCATAAGCTGTTTTTAAATCCCTATCCAATCTACCTTTTTAATTCCAGGCCAGTTTACAATATTTTATCAAAGCAGGGATGTTTTTACCATTTAACTATTCAATTAATTTTTGTAAAATCAATGTTTCTTTATGAAAACATTTTTTTTTTCCCAAAATTCAGATAGCATGGAACAGACAACTAAAAAAAATATTATTTTCTATCCCATTCATATTACATAGAGGGAATTTTGGGACTCTATCACGTTTTTAATAATGTTATTGAACAAACTCACGTCATTAATTCTCAATGTTTAAAAAAGTAAATGTTATTGTCTTCATGATTATTTGGTCATCTAAAGCTAGCCTCTCCTAATTTTAATTAACAGACCTTATTGTTCAAATTTTGAAAGATATTTTTTAAGATTTCCTGATCCATTGAAAATAAATTAATTACTCAAAATTTACACTTTTACTGTAATATTGAAAAATTAAACCACACAGAAAGAGTGAAGATTTAAGGTATACACTACTTATTTTAAGATTTTTTTATTCATTTAATTATTTATGAAATCATGATATGTGTCTTTGAAATAAAAACATGGGTATTCCGATGAGTTGCCTATTTTGAATCTTTTTACAAGTATTTGAAAATATTTTAAAATCATTATCTCTGAAAAATAATTTAAAAAAAAAAAAAAAGCATCGCTTCTTCTCCAAGTTCAATGGAGTTTGCTTCGGAACCGTTTACCGATAGGTAAGGATAAATGAGTCGTTTATTTCCAAAGTAAAGCATAATGGATTT